ATATCGAATTTTTGCTCAGAATACTGGTCAGCTTGATCGAGATCAAGAGAAACTAAGAAGGGAATGCTTGCAGTACTGGAAGATCCCGGATATTACCAAAAAAAAACCCTACGAAACAAATGAATCATTATTTGCAGCTATCAGTCGTCTTGTCAAGGTTTAATTGTAGCGGCCTTACTCTTTCACTTAAGATTTTACTTTTGTTCAAGAAAATACTCGAACATGTATATGAAAGTACATAAAAATCATTCCCGTTAGTAATATCAGGCACCCTTAATTTTAGATTATCGATTTTAAAGAATTACAACAGAAACCACCGGCTTTCACGAAGAATGTTTTGTTATCTGGAGCAAGTCGAATGCGATATGCCGAGTTACGAATGTGCGCCATCACGGAAAAAGAGCTTCCAGTTTTATTGATCTCGACTGTGAGTCGTTTTTTTTCATTTAATATTGTTTGGTTTTTTCTGAAATATTTTAGAGATTTTGTGTTATCAAGAGCTTGTATCTTAAAGTGTACAAATTATTTGTAAGAAAATCGCATTAAAATGTGTTGCAGTGAAAAGTTTTTGCATCTAAGATTTACTTAATTGTACATTACCGATATTTAAAGAATTGTAACAAAAACTGTTAGTTCCATGAAAAGTAATCAATTATTCAAGACGTCTATCTTTCCTTCAACTGAATCCTCTGTAATATCGGCGAATATCTCGTTTTACTAATAGTTAACTGATACATACCAAGCAAAAGTTCAAGATTTTTTAATAATTATTTTCTTGCGTTTAGGAGATTTATCTTCCCGTTGACATCATTATGATTTCCATGGTGATTTCCATTGAATTTTGCATTAATAGATGTCACAACAAAAAAAAAAATTGAGTAGAAGAGCCGAAAATTGTTTGAAACTGTTATAACTACTATGTCGTTTTTTTTTTTAGCAAATGGGCACTTATTTTTATTCACCATATTCTCAGCAAGGTTTTGAAAGAGTTCCCTTCGATGTCAGTATACCGAAAGATACGGTGTTGCTTGTACAGATTACTAAAGTTTACAAAAGGGTTAGTTTTTTCTCTTTGTTCATTCATACGATGCTAACAAAGCTAACAAAAATGCCCATGCCCAAAAATAATTTGAAGTTTTTGATGTAGTTCTTATTCTTACCCTTACTTCTTTTTTCTTTCACTTCATCCATTCGTTATTCAGGGTTACTATTCGATTAATGAAAACATAAGATCAATGTTTTGAGAAATATAAAATATTAAGAATATCTAAACTTATTTTGACTGTACAGGTGTGTATTCTCTACTCTTTTGTAATGTTTCATTACAGTTGGACGACAAGGGGAAATTGGAAGGTGAACGGGCAGCAGTTCGAATTCTTGACGCGGCATTATTAAATGGTGATGATGTTTCTGCGCTTCCTTTCGATGAAAGAATGACAGCAGCTGAAAAGATGTGCAAAGCTATTAAATTTGTATATGAAACACCTGATAGAAAAATTGCACAAGTTTTCCCTGCCAAAGTAAGTTTATTATCTGAGTGGATGCTAAGGCAATGTTTTTATGTGGAAAATTTTTCTAAATTATCTACTAGAAAATATAGCTTGGTTGTTTTTTGCTAATAGTGTTGAGGTCAATACATAGCAAAAAACATTTATTGTTGTTGTGGGAAAAGGATATCCACGAATTAGAATGTTTGACCACTTTTTGTTGTCCACATTGGAGAAAATAATTTTTCATAGTTACATATGGGTAATAAACCGATTTATTATTGATGCATATTGCATTCGTATCCGAAATCAAAGAATTTCAAAACTAGAGGAGCTTTGTATCATTAGAAGAACATCTTTTCTACATTTTTCTTAAAAAATTGTCTGGAGTTTATTTTAGGTATTTATGCTTGATGAGATACACTCTGAGATGCATCGATTTCATGTTATTCTCGCAAAAGGTGAAGAAGTTGCAGTGATTAAAGAGGGTGATGAAGTATTGCCGTCTTTTTTCTATTGTCGTGGAATGCGAATTACTTCACTTTTGATTAGTTGGTTTTTGTGTTCTTAAATTTGTGGTTAGCAATGAATGGTAAGATAATCTTGACTGTTTATTCATGATTTAGCGGTGTACAAATTAAAACCTAAATGAGCATACTCCGTCTACATAATTAGTTTATAAAGGAAATGTAAACTATTAGAATTTATTTTCAAATAATTGTTGTTTGAGTTTTGAGTGCTTCGGAATTATAAGCTCAAGTTAAACAAATCTTTAGTACTGCATTGATTTTCATCCCTTATTACTTTATTTAGACCCATGGATTATGTGCTGGTCCAGAAGTCATGGAAAACTATATGCATTCAATCCTACATCTCAGGGATCATCGGTTTTTAGTGAACAGTTCGAGAAAGCACAATGTTGTTTAAATTTCTGGAAGGCAGTTATTGCAAAGAAACAGTATCTTTTTTAGTTTATTCCAAGAATATATTGATGAGAAAAACTGAGGAGGAAAGCTTTAGTAGATGAAGTCAGTAGTTGTGCACGTTAGAAGTCTTAAAGTTTTTGAGATGTATTTAATGATGATCATATCCTGTTATAGTGATATTTCTTCTGTGGAAAATTTGTGAGTTATTATTTGAAATGTTTAAGTCCACCGAATAATAGTGATCCATCGAAGAATGATTGCTATCAGTGGTTCTGGGAATGGACACATAACTTCATCGTCGGTGAAGGTTATGGGCCACGAGCAGTGTTGGAAGCAGAAGAACATTCAGAAGGACTTACACTGCGATCTATGCATGCTATCGCTCAGCAACAGAAAGACAGTGTTTCTCATAAGCATTCACTGTAACTTATTTTCTTCATTTTTTTTTAATGGAATACATCTAAAGCATGATTGTATTAGAACGCTTTCTGAAAAGTTGTAACGTAGAGTCTTTTTCTTTTGTTTTAAAATACTGAAAGTCTATTTTTTGTTTACTTTTCTGTTGGAATGTTTGCAATAAATTTAGTTAGATCTGCATCCCTGTGAAAACAATTTTTTATCATGTAATGATAATATTTTTTAAACGACAGTAATGATAATATTTTTTTAAGGATAATGTTGCTACCAGAGAACTTTAACTGCTGACTTTTTTTTTTTTTTTGAAATTTTTGGTTTACCTTTTGTATAGTTCTTCCTGAGCAGGGTATGTCCAGTTATATTTCATGTAAGGTTTTATTTATGGATAGCTTTCTCAGTATTCTACTGAGAATAATTCGACTCTTTCCCCATGTTTTCTGGTGTTCAGTTGATGGTGCTTACAATTTTTTGTTCCCGACTTGCCATTTTGATTTGAAACTCATTTGCGTTGTTTATTACTTCCTTCCATTATATTAATTTGCTTAATTTCTCATTACCATACTTTATGAAAATTTCTTGTTGTTAATAATTGATGTCATTTAGTTTCTAAGATAATGAATCAGGATGGCTGACTAAATCCTTTATTGGATGATATAATGCAAGAAAGAGTTAATATCCTCGCATGTGGGTTAATAATTTAAACGACTGTTTTCGAAATTTCCAGTTGCTTTTTTTAGGTGTTTGTAAAGTCCTGTTTTTGTTATCACAACTTATTAGTACAGTGTGGAGTTTTAGTTGTGTATCTTGACTCATTTCACATTTGTTTCATGTTCTTTGTGGAAAATTCATGTATTTGCTCTCAAATTTTACCATGCTTCCTTTGAAAAGACTCCTTTTTTTGAGTTTAATTTTTCTTTGAGTTCTACAGGACTGTTTTTTTTTTTAATTTCTGTTGGCGATTGTTTCCCACAGCACTGTTTTGCATTTTATTCGAACCTCACATTTCTTTAGCCAAAGTTTGGACAAAGTTATTTGAAATTACGTATGTTTAGTGCTGTGAAATTAATACACTAAAACATTCTATAAGGCATTATGCTACCGCTACTAATGTAAAAACTTGTCCCCATCTCAAGAATTCGACCCAAACTTTGCCACGATTGCAACCGATCTTCTCAATCCTAATTGATGGGTCCGATTACAATAGTTTCTTTGCAGTCATCGTCGAAAGGAATTATGGGAAACGTGACACTACAATGCCCAACTAGCCATGGACCGTATTTAAAGAACCCCTTAGTTAACAATTGATGCCTACTCACTCAATTTCATTATCAATGAATAATATCGATCATACAACAAGAAGGAACTTTATTTCATATCTTATTAGCAAAAAAAAAAAAAAAAAAAAAAAGTAAACGATCCCATCAAACACACAACCGAGAACTTTCTCGAAATTGGATTATTTTGAAAGCTATTTTAAAATGTGGCTGGGTAACTAGAGGCAAAATCAACTAGGAAACTGGCGAAAACTGTGAAACATTCCAGAGACTTCTCGGATTTAAGAATACGAGGAGTGGTGAGAAAGAGATCACCGTGAATCTGCATATACTGTATAACTGTAATAATAGGATAATCATGTAATGAAGAAAAAAAAAAAACAAACTCGAAAACACAAAAAAGCATTGGAAGCAAAAAATGCTTTAAAATCAAATGACAATGACTGTGCGCTAGAGAATTTGCAGCTGGAAAATATATTATTGTTTCTTAAAATTAACCACAAGAGAATTTGCTTAACTTGTTTCCACAAGAATTTCCCTGAACTATGAAGCACACTGTCTTTGGGATACCATAAATAGCAACTGTAAAACAAACAAATAAAACAACCGAAAAACACACACACAAATGGAACTCTAATACGCGTTTTAATTTGGAAAGAACGATTTTGTTCTGATGGTAACCAGTGCGATGAATTTACGAAAAAAAGAAAAAACAAACAACAAAACTTAGTGCATAACAACTAGTTGAAACAGCAAAAAAAAAAAAAAAAAAAAAAAAAAAAATGCACATGAACGACATAACTGGTAAAATTTCTTCCCCTTAGATCTACTAAAATTTCGAGGTTGATCCTTTAAGCAAGTCCCATTATTTGATCATAATAACTCTAACGCATGTCTTAACCACTTCCATTTACTACCTGTCCTGGATGGCCCCTGCCTGAAATGAAAATATATTAGTCATATTTGATTAAAACGACTTCTGATTCTGGCAATCCAGATCAATATCATCTAAAGCTAGTGAAGAAATGTTAGTGAAGAACGTGAGAACCTAATTTAAAACAAAATCCGGAGCTGATAAATTTCAATACTATGTGCTTGTGATCATTTCCACTATTCTCAATGACCAAGGCCTTTTGAACACTTTCCAAACAATCGGCATGATCCTTAGTTTCACAGTTAGACTGACTTCATCTACGAAGTTCATTCTATTTCTCACAGTGATAGCTCAACTTGAAATAAGACACAATGTCTAGCATATGTTTTTGCAAAGTGCAATAAACCAACCTCCACGTCGAGGACCACCACGTATACGACCAGAACCAATACGACGAGCATCTCGTTCTACGTTTTCTTCTTTTTCGCCTCCTTTTTCATCATCCAATGGACGACGTCGATCATCTTGATCTCCACCACCTGCAATGAGAGATTTTTAAGTATCAAGAACAAATTTCAAAAATTGAGAATTCTCAGAAGTGCCCCATCATGAATCCCATTGCTTAGAAAACTCAGAAAATGTTTGTAAAATACCCCTATTTTGACGAAAGCCACCACGAAAAGAACCACCACGTCCACGTCCTCTGTAAGGCGCACCACGTCCACCTCCAAAATTTCCTCCTTCATAGCCAGCGCGTTCAAAACGATAGCTAAAAGAAATGACGTTGAATATTTTTTGCCAAGTAGACAGACCACAGAATTAATCTAAAGTCAAGTAAAGAATATCCCTCACAGAGGCAAGAAATTATGCTTAAAATTATGACAAACCAGTTCCATTCTTACCTGCTTTACCGCCCAAATACCCATTTATATGCAAAAATTCCTCGTTTGCAACTTTAATTTCTCATATAACTCATATAATAAACAGGAAAAAGCAATACACCAAATTTTGCCAACATTCACACAAGTTTGCAAATTTTGAGATTAAAACGTGCAAATTTTCAATCCTAAATTAATCAGAAACTGCAAATTTTTTCAGCTGTGCTTCATCAAATTCTCAATTACCCATTGCCATTCATTCCAGCGGGAGGAGGAGTTGACCTGGAATAGAGTTGCCGCTGCATCTCATCTACATTCAACCGCATTTCCTCCATTTCTTTCAAATGGCGCAAATGATATTCGATCAGCAGATTTGCCATGGAAATTGCGTCTTTTGTACCCGTAAAAACAAATGGCACTGGTTCATCAGGCTAAATGAAAATATTAATTTGAACAATAAATATAAGTTAATTCAGATAAACTTTCTAATTTAGAGAGAGAATAAAACAATACAAAAAAAAAAAAAAAAAAAAAACAAGAGCGATCTTACATTCTCATCAACTCTGTTTTGATCATCACCACCTTCAATCTGTACGCGTATAACACCTGATTTATCCACGATATCCTAAAGAATCAATGAACATAATACGATATTGAATAAAGTTTGAGCTTACACACTATTTTCTGTGTAGAAATCTAAAGTTACCTGAATCGTTTTACCCGATTTACCGATCACTTTGCCAACCAATCCACGTGGTACCTCGAACGATTCCACTGCATATTCCAATTGTGAACGTGCTGCAGCTGCGGCTTCAGCATTTTGGGCAAATACCTACAAGTTTTTTAGAACTTTATTAACAGACTATAACTTAGTATCACGAAAGATAGCCTGCCCAAATATTGCTATAAACTGATATAACTTATAAATCACTTGATGGTTAAGTCATTGCTAACCTTGAAAAGTACAGGTGTATGACCATCATTACTTTCCACGAGCTGTATATCTTCGACCCCATCAATGTTTCGTGCGCTTTGAATATTAGCTCCATGTGACCCTATCGCAAGACCCATTAAGTTGAAAGGTACCGTAAATTCTTCCACATGAGCCGACGTATGCATCGATGTGTTCTCTAACAAACGAGCAGCTTCCTAAATGACATTTATGCACCATAAAAAAAAAAAAAAAAAAAAAAATCGATCCTTTTCTGTTACTTTCCCTTCTCCGTATGCATAATATAAACAAATGAATTATCATCAGCACTCTTTCAACGATTCCACGAATAAATCTGTTCTGTGTAATGTTATAGGAAGGTTTAAGCGGTATTCCTTGCGCTGTTTGCACTAACAGATGATGCATGAATCACTGAAACGTATACGACACCAAACTTTACTTAATCTCACCAAAAAGCTACTAGTAATGTTTGCTGTGTAAAGAGAGGAAGAAAATTTGATAAGCTTCCCAAATAAACCTCTTGACGTTGCAAAAGTTGCATCTTCTGTCGAGAATCCTTGAAGTACATGTCAGAAAGAATCGTTGCACGCTTTACTGCTTGTTCTTCAAATGTCTAAAAACAGTGGAGGTAAACTGTCTAAAAGTCACTGGTTCAGCTGTCACAAAAATCTACCCGATCATTTGCTAACCATACTCTATCAGTTTGCACAGCATGATACTGATCGAAAATGATTTTTTCTAAATATTATTGAGAAAATCTTATTAATGAGAAAACTTCGTTACTATCACCGTTATGTAATTAATATGGAGATAATATAGTGTTATTGGAATAGTTTAGAAACAACTGACGGAGAGAAGAAGATTTCCATTTTCCTCGTCATATTCGACAAATACACTTTTGACAGTGGCTGCGAAATCAGCATATGACTCAGGTCGTTTGAAATATGCCCGGAGATCTTCAGGTACAGCGATTTTAGCATGTTTGAACTGACTTTGTTTTAGTGGAGTACATTTGACCAGCAACGTACGTATATGTTCCAGTGAAACAATATCCATATGGTGCGGCCCTTCAACGCTTTCAATTGCCGCTAAATCCCCCTACAAATTTATCAATATGTTTATGCTATGAAGAAAAACAACTCAGTCTCAGAAAGCATTCTAACTAATGAAATCTACTGAAATTTCATTTCAAACAGATTATTGTACACAAGTGGTAGGAATGGAACTGTGGAAAGAACATGAGGATAGAGGAATGTGTAGCGGAGATGGTAAATTGGTCAATACTGTGGGAAGTACATTTCGAAGATTCTCGACCAACGCTAGGGAATTTCAAGGAATCATTTAAAAATGCTGATGCTAATTTAACGAAGCCATTCGCCCATCTTATCAGTGTTCTCAAATGACTTGTACAAATATAGCATGAACGTGATGAACAAGTATCGTCAACAGAAATGACATTTGATGAAATCAAAGAGTTCAGATTTGTTGGCGGATGAGCTCAAATCATGTCAGCTATCATTTGGCACAAATCTCTGTCAATTATTGCTCTAGTTTTTTGTTCGAACAAGTGGAAACTTGAATAATCCAATAATTTATTTCGCGATAGCAAATCAAGCAAAATAAGACTTCTACCTTTAACTCTTTGATTTTGGCTTTCTGCCAACCGAAGACAGCATCATCCTCCTGCTTCATTAGTGCTTCAACAGTATCACCCACTTTCAATGTCTCAGCTTTTGCGGAACGCGGTGGCAAGCGACAATCATCAAATTTCACCTAAATTTTATTAGAAATAAGTTTTAATTAACTCCATTTTCTTTTTCAACAAAAAACAATTTCTAAAACCCAGCAGAAAATCAGCCATTTAACAAATCCGTGAATATATAAACGAAAAAGAAGTAAACCTCCTCAGTTTTCGCATCGTTCCCATAACTCACAATGACAGTATCTGTCTTAATGGATTTCACGAAAGCCTGCAAAAAATCAAAGCCTAGAGTTATTTAAATTATTGTTAAAATTATGTGTAAAGACACTAAATCTTCTTTACACCAACTAATAAAGGACCAGCACTATCCCTTCTTCATTACAATCATTCTAATTCATCATTTTGGCAACTAGATGGCATCAATCAATTACTGACAACGTGAAATTCCTACAAGGTATGGTAATAAAAAATTGAGTAACTTAATATAATGAAAGGAAGTAATAAATAAGCGCAAATAAGTATCAAATCATCAAAGGATAAGCACTACCAAGTGAACATCAAAAAGCATGAAAAAAAAAAGTTGCTATTTGCTGAAAATGTATTTCTCAGCAAAAAATTCGATTAGTTTTACCATTCTAAATTCACTATATATCACTTATAGCTAATCCTATAAGAATCTTTAACAAAACATAGCTGATCCTACCTTTTTTCAGGAAGAATTATTGGAAATAATTTTTAATATCTATTTTATCAATGTAGTCATTGCTCATCCTATCATAGCATAACTCATTAATAAATCAACATACTAACCTTGTAAAACAATCCGTTGTCTTGTCGTACTTCAATTTCCATTTTTACTGAAATCAGCGAATTAATCTCAGCTCTTATACACGATTCTCACTCTTCTTCACTTCAATTTATTTAATTAATCAATTTGTTCTCGACCAACACCTATCAATCTGTTTAGCAGGTGGTATATCCTCCACCGTTTTTTTTTTTTTCCAAATCCGATAAGTCCAAATCCGGTAGAAATGCAAAAAAACGAGCCGAAGCTCAACAACAACGATCCAACCGCTTTCTATCTGCTCTCCTCGCAGCAAATGCTCCGTTCTATCATTCGTTACGCCCTTTCAGCATGCAGACATGCAGAGTAATATGCAAACACGATAAGACACGTAAACATAAACGCATGTCAGACATAAAGAGATATGCATGGATGGTATGCATGATAACATATGAAACGAAGAGAGAGAGAGGTGCAGACAAAATGCACTTCATTCTCCGTCACTACAGCACTCAATCGATTAATGGCCGAGCCGCCAACAAATGACATCGTTTTGACACCGACCGTGTACCATCGAGAACAACCGGGAGTTTGATCGTTTTGGGGACATCGCGGGGGAGGTCATCTGGGGTTGGTTTAAGGTGGTCTGAGTCATCATATGCCAACTATAATAGTAGTCATTAACTATCACTGATCCATTCAATTTCAAAATTTGCTTCTATCTATTGTTATCAGTGCTCTTTTATTTAGTTGAAATTCTGTACATCGAAAGTGTCACCATTAATCGCAGTTTAATTAGTGTCGTAAGGATGAACCGTTCTGACTACAAACACTGCAAGATGATTTCATTCCCAGAAGAATGTGTATGTGGTAGATGAAATGCGTAAAATGGTTTCTGTGATATGTCTCAGTTGCGCAAAGTTTTAGCGACGAATTTGGGATAGATCGTTTAAGTGTTGATGATGTTGAATAAAATATGGTAGTTTAAGGAATTTTGTCATCTTGATGGCGTTACCGGAATCATCTGCCTCTGTTTCGAAACTTCCATCGAAAGATTCCCTCAAAGAGAGATTCAGAATGTTGCATCAAAAACGTGTGAGTTGAAGACTGGTATTTGTTAATTGAATTGAACAGAATATTAATTGAACTTTATCAAGTAGTGACCAACCAGCCTTTGATATTCAACAAAATGAATGTAAAATAATTGCATTGTCCAAAGTTTTCCAGAAAAATCAGTGTTTCATTTTTTAGCAAGAGTCTCGTAAATTAAACTATCAACAAGTGGTAGAAGAGGACCATAGGTCGAAATTGCCGAAAAATTACGATTTAAAACGAAAACGTCAAGAATGGGAGCTTAAAGAGATGGAAATGAAAAAGGTTAGATTGCTCTCCTCAGACGACAGTTTTTGTTAATGACAACAATTATATCGCTATATTAATGAGCTGTAAGGGAACGAAACGTGCAAGCTATAGAATTAACCGGAATCCGAACAGCATAGTCTCTACTTCTTGCTAGTTCGTTCCGTTTGTCGTGAGCATGTGAGAAGTTATTCTTCCTTCCTTCGGTCAGAATTTGTACTGACAGTGTTGGCCTTGTTAATAATATCTCTTGGATACCTTTTTATCGATTAATGTTTCTCAGTAGAAATTTCTTTTTAGGCTGCTGAGGAGCGGGGAGAAGATTATGAAAGGTTAAAAGCTCTGAAAACTCAGGCAGATTTGATCGAACGCAAAGAGGCAATCAAGAGAAGGAAGAAGCCAGACAGAGGCTTTAGTGGTGGGTTTTTTTTTTCCTAGAATTGGAAAGTTGTAGTTTTTATTGGTAGCAAAGTTACTGACCGATTCGCAACATCTACAAAGAAATTCATAAGCGGTGATTTTTTTTTTATTTGTAAGACATGGAACTTAATATGCCTTTGTTTGCTAAGCTGGTTGTTGAAATTTAAAGATTATTGAACTGAATGTTCCAGATTACGAAGCAATGACTTTACGTCAGTATCAAAGATTGTCTGGAAATATTAAACCTGACATAAAAGCTTATGAAAAAATGAGAGAAGTTATGTAAGTGTTTTTTCTTAGTATTATTTTGATTAAATCAAATATGAAAAAAATTTATACTGTTTCTTGGTTGCATCTCTTGTACCAATTATCATTGGAAAATGGCGAGAGAATTGATTATAGTAGCAAAATAACGGAATCAAGAAACTGTTTCAGTAGTTTTATTTAGGTGTCGTTTAAAAGAGTGTAAAGCGGAATTAACCATTTATTTTTCTGTTTAAAAACAACATTAAGACTTTCAGTGGTACTAACGAATTTTATCCTGGAGTAGACACACTCATTTCTGGAACTCATTATCCAACCGATGCTGCCTTAAATAGGCTAGCAGAAGATATCAAAGCACAGTAAGTGAATTTTTTTTTGTTTGTTTGTTTTTAATCTTATTCTGTCAACTGACGTTTTTAGTTTGGATGAGTTGTACGTTCTCAAATACAAGCGTACAAATGTAATATATATTATCAATGGAGTAATAAAGTTATGAAATTACACTTTTAAGGTTTGTGGTAAACAGTTACATAAATGAGTTTTAACTTGTCACCGATTTGTCTAGCGTCACATACTTAGTGATGACGCAATTTTGACCATACTTGCTGTTGAAAGTTTACTTGTTCTTCAGAGAAAAGAAACGCGATCAATATCATCGTCGGCGAATGTTCGATCCAGATGCACCAATCGACTATATTAATGAACGGAACCGTAAATTCAATCAAAAGTTGGATCGTTTTTACGATAGGTATACAGAAGATCTTAAGAGTGATCTTGAAAGAGGAACTGCTATATGATTAAAAAGTTTTTCCAATTTCGTTAATTTAGAATTTTCTGTGATGCGGTTTTCAAAAAACAATTTGAAGCACTGCGCTTCATTTGTATCATTTGATCAAATTTGTTGCAGTCGTTTTTGCTTCTTACTAACAGAAAAAGGTTTTTTCTCGTTGTTTGTTCAAATTGGGCATAAAATAATATACCTCATCTGCATCATTTTTATATCGAAATCTTAAATGCAAATTTCTGTTTATTGTGGTAGAATTCAATTATCGTTTTTTGTATCAGAGGAGGTACAGCAAATAAATAGTGAATATATGGTCTCTCTTCGTTATTCGTTATTTAGTGATTGTAATTCAGTGATCGCTTTTTACTGTTTTGGTTTTTTATGAAATATCGAAAAACCAAATTGAACACTGAATACAACGTAGATTTCGTCACTGGGCTGGGTTGTAAATTGCATATAGAGCTCATTGGCATATAACCAAATCATTTAGTAGGGTCAAAGAAATGTAAATTTATGATGTCACAAAGTTTTATCGCAAAAAGTTTGTGATTACTAAGGAAAAAATTCTTTGCTAAGTGTTTCGTTAGAATTAAGTCATAAGGAGTGTATGATTTTAATAAGATTTGAAGACTGTCTTTGAACTATGTCTGTTACAACAATGTAAGATTATTGGATGGAACTGAATGTGTTCCACACGACGTAATTGATCCAAATTCATTGTACAATCAGTAACTGCTTTTAACGACGAAGTAATTCGTCTAAATAATTTTATAAAAAATTTCTTGCAGTTATTAAATGATTAACGTTCAGTGCATCTTCACAAGCTTAAGCATCCCTAAACTCTAAGATTAATCTAGATCTTCTTTGAAAATGCAGCTTTTCTGGAAAACCTGGATGTTTTCATGATTCTTTTGGAGTATTTTCGCTTGATTTTAAGTTGCTTCTCAAGAATTTATGTTGAAATTTATCAAACAAATATGCGTCAACTTGCATGAAACAGTTCCTTTAAATTATAATAATGAGTGATAATTAACAAGAACTTGTTTTGGTCCGCGTGCTGTTTTATCTCTATCAAATATTCAAACCTGATGTTATATAGAAGTTCAACTTATGAAACTGGATATTTTGGTAATACTTAGAGATTCAATGAATAGTCCTATCCGGAATACATAACTTTGTAGTCCTGTTGGTTTGCTGAAGTATTGGATAGATCTGCGCGATCACAGATTGCTATTTTGATCGAAGGTTTGCAATGAAATGCAAAATTTATCAGTGATATGAATTTAAGAAATGGAATTCTTCGCGATGTATTATGTGTTGCAACGCAAGTAATAAAACATTTGCGGAAGTTAGTGTTAATTATGCTAATTAACAAATCACATTACACTTATTTTCAATTTCAATAATTTGAGACTGAATTTTTTGGAACGATTTGAATCGCTGCTTACTTTTATCTTTAAGAAAAACGAAATTATTATTTAATGTTTAAAAATATTTAAAATGTAGGTAAAATAAATGAATATCGTCAATATGGCCATAGAATTGGAAGGATTCTACGGTGAAAGAAATTTTGTAAGTCAGACATTAGTATTTTTTTACCTTGATAAAGAAAGCTTTTTGGAATGTTAGGTAATCTTCTTGAATATTTATTTATGATTAAATCTATTATCGACTGATTCCACTATAGATATTTATACTAGTTTTTCATTATTTCATTGATTTTTCAAAAAAAAAAAAAAAACTTTCATTCAAAAAATTATTCATTTCAATTAAATTTTATTTCATTTAAATGTTTGTGACAACATAAGAAATATACGATTATATATGAGAAAGTTGTGCGGTAATTATGTTTTTGATAGATTTGATTGATATGATTTAAAAACTGAAAAGGAACAAGATGAAAGAAATTTGGGAATGAAATTGATGATCATATAAAGTAGAATATACATTAAAAGTTAAAATAATAAATTTATTCTCATTATCATGCAAACTATCAAAAAATTCGTTCCAAAAACTCAAAAAATTCGTTCTTTTTTTAGAAATTATTCTTTGATTTGTTTTCTCAGAAATTTAATCAATTGAAAATTCACTTTGAGCAAAATTTTATTGAATCTTACAACTATAATCATATATCATTAGAATTTCATCTCGTTTTTTTTTTTTTTTTATTCGTTATTAATTACTGTTATCATTAAACACTTTGCTAACATTTGCAGTTTTACTTCTTCCGGTAATTTGCGC